TGAACACAGAGTCTTGCTTAAGCCTTCTGAAGCATAATAAAGTACTCTCCTCCCTCACTGGTAGCTGAGGCCACCATCTGAGTCTATTGCAATGAACCAGTCCAGTCAAGCAAAGCTGATTACAATTTCTGATTTAACATGTAAGCCTCTCTCCCCCACTAGTAAGGTATTCTATTTGCTGAAACTGGACCATACTCTTCTTTACCAATAACGCTAAATAACCTCATGTAATCCAGCAACTTTTCTAACTGTTTATAATGGAGCTACAAAAAGTTTGAGTAAGAAGTTCTGGCAGTAGGTGCTTGAGGTGCTGTGCTGTGCACTTACCATAGCAATGACCTTCCTGACTGTACAGTCCTTCTGGGCATGCAAGGAGGCACATGCCATCATGAAGAACCTGGGGATACGCACAGGCTGTGCAGTTCTGGGGAGTGCTGCCTATACAGGCTGAACACAAGGCATGGCACTCTGCAGGAGAAAAAAAACAAAACAAAAAGAAAGTCAACAGGTTTCCCACTTGTGTTTGCTTCTGGACAGAGACAGTTACACTTACCAGCTAGCTTGCCTTTTCCCCTTAGGCAATAGGTAGGTGTATACTTCGCAGAAATCTCTGCCAGCAAAAGGAAGCAGTATAGGAAAATGTACAAAGGTGGTATTAACACATGTCTCAAAGGCAAAGAGAAACCCGGGGTAACTGCATCATCAACTTTTCCCACATTTCTCCCCATGTAGAGGAACCATGTGTACTTGAAATGGGAAGCCTAGATGCATACGGTAGTGTTTTGCCATCCCTTTCTCCCTGGAATATCTTGGAGCTCCTGCCAAGCCACAGGTGGGAAGGAGTGAAACCACAGCTCATGGTTTGCTATCACTCCATGCCCTAGCATGGCTCTAGGAAGAAACTTCTTTCCCATGGTTCCATTCAAAGGCAATGGCCCCAGCACCACGGCAGTAGCCACAACTCCACAGAAGGCTGGTCACTTCATTTCTCAGCTAATAAGGTACTCTGTCCCAATCAACAGGGACATCCAGCTTGAAATGGGTAAGAGCTGAGATGAAAAACAGAATAAATCCCTGCAAAGTGTCCAATTAATGACCCTATTGTTTCCCAGATTATTACAAAGCTGTATCACAGCAGCCTTGGCTGAGATGAGCCCTGGCTGAGATAAGGGGCCGCATCATAGTAGGCAGTATATAACATATAGTAAGTACAGTCACGAAAGGCGCCTTTACATGTGCTCTGGAGGTGGGGAGGGGTGCTTTAAATTAAAGTGACTCTCAGGAGCCACATTAATTAAAGCGTTTGCAGTGTCTTGTGCATTCAGAGTCCTGCACTTCAGAGCGGTAGCAGGGACACTTTAACTAAAGTTCGTTTGACATTTTAGTTAAAGTGTCCCCACTGCCATTTTGAAGCACGGGGACACTGAATGCACAAGACACTAAGGCTGCTGGAGCGTGCTAATTAGCAAGCTCCAGCAGACCGATTTCATATTCATTAGGGCTGGAAGGGACCTTGCAATATCATCAGGTCCAGCCCCCTGCCCAAAGGGCAGGAAGTCAGCTGGGGTCAAATGATCCCAACAAGATAGGCATCCAAGTATTTTTTTAAAGTATCCAGAGTAGGTGCTTGCATCACCTCTGGAGGGAGCCTATTCCAGGCCCTGAGGACTCAGACAGTAAAGAAGTTTTTCCTTATGTCCAGCCTAAAACGGTCTCCCAGGAGTTTGTGACCATTGGACTTTGTCTTCCCTTGGGATGCCCTGGTGAATAGGCTCTCTCCCAGTTCCTGATGCACACCCCTTATGTACTTATAGGCAGCCACCAAGTCACCCCTGTGCCTGTGCTTTTCCAGGCTGAAGAGTCCCATGGCTCTCAGCCTCTCCTCATAAGGCCTGCTCTCTTGTCCTCTGATCAGGCATATGGCTCTCCTCTGGACTCTTTCATGCTTCTCCACATCCTTCCTGAATTTTGGAGCCCAAAACTGGATACAATTGGATTAATCAAGTCTGCTCCAATGCACTGTGTTGGAGATGTCTATAGCCACCCAAAAAGCCTATAGTGTACCTAAAACAGATGGACCAAATATCACAGGGGAAACAAGCACTGAGAGGGGAAGCAATTTGCCCATGGTCACTCGGCAGGTCTGTGAACAGCAAGGAACAGAGCTCAGGAGCCCTCCCTGTTTGTGCAGTTCTATCTTCCACTTGGCCACAATGCTAGGCCAATGCACAGCCAATGCTATTGAAATCTAGGATGGATCAAGCCCACTGATCTCAAAGAATCTCAAGAATGAAAAAAAAAGATCAGATGTCTGCAGAAGACTAAGGCTGTTAAGGAAAACTTTTCAACGCCCCCCCCTCCTCCACCCCCCCGGATTTTGAAATGGTCCATATTTACAGGCATTTATGTACTATGCCTATTGTACATTTTGCATTTGTTGGTTGGAGCATTTACAAATGTTTGAAAACTATCTTTAGAGGGAAGAGTTGCCATTTTAACTCCTTACAGCTTTCCTCAAATGCAGCAGTTCCCAAAATTTTTGGGCCAATGGAGCATCTTCAACCCCCAACTTTTGCATGGGGCTATTATGCACTTTATGACTCAAACATTGACTGAAAACCCTATTCAAGACACAGAACATCTGTATGATCCAAAGGACTCTAACCATGGCCCACAGCCCACGGCCCACCATTTGGGAACCCTGGCTCTAATGGTGTTTCTGCATATCAATGCTAACAACCTACAGGAATGCATTAGCATTCTTGCCCAACCCAGTTTAGCAGTGTTACTCATCTCTGCTCAATCATATTTGTGCGGGTTTTTATAGGAAGAGTGACCATACACTCTGATTTAGCTGGGACACTCCCACATTTCAAAGACCAGTCCCTGGAGGGCCAGTGACAATAAAAATAAGCATCCTAGAAATGTAGGGACACAGGGTGCAGTCTGATGGGGAGGCAGAATGATATGGAGCAGCCTGGTGTGCCAGACAGGCAACTCTGCTGCCAGTGCACCACACCACTCCACCCCTGCCTCTGCCTGCGGCAGTGCCACTAACTTGGGAGAGAGGAGGATGGCCGGGAGTATCCGGAATTTCCAATTCTCCCATATGGTCACCCTATTTATAGGTTGTGTATCTGAATGCAGTAGTTTAGCTCCCTCTTTCAATTTCCATGGAGTTGCTTTTCCTTAGGCAAAGGCACAACTGGTGTATAAGGCCTTGTCTACACTGCCCCCATGCCACACCCAGAGCACCACCCTGAGGCAAGCTGCACTAACTTATCCCCACTCTACATGTACCATCTCTCCACAATGAGGCAATGCATTTGCCTCTGGGTAGTCCCAAGGGTGTGCCGCCCAGCAGTACTCTTAGGCTCTCTGTCCCATAAACGTTCAGGGGCACACATACAGTAAGCAACTTTCAATCCTCTGGATCATGGTGTACGTGTAAGAGGTCTAGTAACCAAGACCTTTGACAAGTGTGCCTAGGCAAAAATATGGAGGAATGGAGGCTGCCCAAGACCCACCATCCCCACATTAGACCATTGAGACAAAATCCAAAGGCTAGACTGAATCCAAACATTCAGTATCTCAATGGTTGTAGCTTCTGCCGGAAAGCAACAGATAAGACCTGCTGCTGGCTGCCTAATGCCTTAGCAAGGGTGCATTTCTGTCAGGGTGATGTTCCTTATCCTTTCTCCAACTAAGTAGTACCCACAAGGCAGCGGGGGCTAGAGTTTTGAGGTGCTCTATACTTGTCTTACTCTGGAGGTTGCAACATTGTGGTATTTTATAGGAGCTACCCGACCACAAGCAGCCCCACCACATTGTCACTAGGCTCTCCAGTCAGATGCAGTTTACGGTCATACCCAGGACCATAACAGGGGCACACATATAGTATCACCCAAAAGTGGTTACACTGCCTCATTTTGTGCTTTGGCATATGCAGAGTAGGAGTGAGTGGGTGGGACATGCCTCATAGTAGTGCCAGATCAGTGTGGACATGACCCAAGAGTTGCAGAATCATCCAGTATCTGCTGTCAGAACAGCAAATGGACTCTGGGATAGATTCTCAGCTGATGTTAATTGCTATGCTGCCATTAACTTAAACCAGGGGTGTCAAAGAAGGCCCACAAAGCTCTATCAGCTGGCCTGCAGCGCTGTCTGCAGGTCATGGATCAGTCCCACATGCAACATATGCTGGCCCTGGCCCCACATGGGGCTGGGTTGGTATATGCTGCACACAGCACATAGGGCTAGTCCTGGCATGCACACTGCACACAGTATGCAAAAATGGTTCAGGGCATGCACTACATGTAGCACCCATTCTGGAAAGGCCCTGCATACAGGGGCCAGTCAGGATCAGGCCCACAGACCAGCTCCACAGCCCAGAGCCAGCATGCCCCTCCCAGTCCAGTGTGGGCACCATATACACCATGTACTCTTAACAGGCTCCATGCATTGCAAAGCTGGGGGTGGTGCATGCTGTATGTGGCACACAGGGCCAATCTGGGTAGTGAGCTGCTTTCGGCACCTGCAAAGGACTGTCTTTGCATGCTGGCTCTGGCATATGAAGCCAATCTGTGGGCCTGATGTGGCCTGTGGACTGTCCCCATGCCACTCATCTGGCCTAATATTGGATGAGTTTGATACCTCTGACAAAGTTGTGACAAGTTGTACAAGTTGAGAATCTGCCCTGATATAATTATATTAATCCAGAAAAATACAAGCCATAGTTATTTTTCTCCATGCACTTTACTGTAGTCTCACTGAGAACAATGACTGCTGTTTTACTTGGCAAACATAAAAGAACACATTCTTGTAACAGGTATTTTCAGAAGCAGTTGAATTATGTGTTTAAGGCTGGCACAGAAAATGCTTAAGACAGAGGCACATCGTCTTCACTTGCTCTGATTTCTTAAATCTACATAGACACAAATTCCTTTGGATTGGAACTTGTTCAACTGAGCACAGCATGGAGACATACTTTGCACTGATGCCTTTAAGAGCCAAGGCAGAGCATTATACCTGTCACAGCCTGCATGCCTCATTGTTAGCACAAAACTGTTCTGCAAAACAATGTGTATTTCCTCTTTTATGAACTTCTCTCAGTTAAGAAAGGAATTTACACAGGCACCTCCAAAATTATCCAAAACTAATATGCGAAATGCAATATTTATTAGATTCATATTAAATGTTAGTCATTTTTAAAGTGAAGAAAGCAAGAAGCTTAGTAGAATCCTTTTTGTTGCAGTATATCTGGCTGATGAGAATGATCACCATGTGCAGGGATTCGTGAGTTTTTTCTTCAGACATACCATTTGCAGAAGTATCATCTCCATTCAGACTTGGGGTGGATTGAATTGGTTCAAGACTCCTACGCTCACCTATGAACCTGCCCAATCTGCTCTCTCTGTGAAAGACTTGTCATTCCTATGCACAGACCAGCTGTGCAAAACTTCAAGCAGCCATTGGATCTACGGACTAGTCGCACGAGCCATAGTTGCAGCCTACAAGAGTCTTTTCTCAGCATGGCTAGCAAGGCCACGTGTATTCTAACTGCACCAGATCAGTCTCTCTGGCTAACTCTACCCTATAATAACAAGCTTCCTGTTTGGAATGGATAGATGCTTCAGGAGACTGAAAAGTATTAGTATTACCATGGCTGAAAGGTGAGCAGCATCTGAAATTGCTAAGTCATTGCTGTAATAAAGCCACAAACTCTCCCAGAGACAAGCTGGACAGCCATCCATCATCTGTCTCCTGTTCCAATTACACCCCAGGGTGAAATTCCAACCATTGACTTCAATAAAGCAGAATCCACCCCTTAATGCAGATCTGCACAATGGGCCATAAAAACTATATCTTTTGGAGCCTTACACATTTTTTTTTAATTATATGGTTTCTCAAAAACACTGGCACTCCCCTTTTGAGAGAGCGTTCAGGATCATCCTTAGAAGATTGCACTTAGGTTGTAAAACAATACATACTTCAGGCCATTTTTCCTTTGTGCCACCAGAGAGATGTGGTAGTTTGTAGCATGAAAAAACCATGCACATTCCAGCTGTGCATGGTACCAGCCATCCCAAGTATTTAAAAGCTGACACAGGCTTGTACATAAGCACCTTAGTATCATCTGAGTGACTCATTTACTCACGTCTGCACACTCCAGCAACATCAAGGTAGAAATGAGTGTTGCACTGAGGGAGGCAGACACCGTGCAGAGCTCCCCCAAGGTGCTGTTCCAGCTGCAGTGCCTCCTCTGGCTCCCTGCACCGTGTGCAGTGAAAGCTCTCTGGGCCAATGCAAGCATGACAGGATGGGTGGCAACCTGCACATGAGCAGAAGAACATGAACCACAGATCAGAGCACCAGCCTTAAACTGACAAACACAGCATAGTCCCCATGTAAACAAAAGGCTCCTTTCATAAAAATGAGAGATAGGAGAAAATGGGTTGTATACCATCTTTCTCATGGACCTGTCAATGCTGAATTGTCCCCTTCAAGATATGCTTCAAAGCATTCAGCATAGGTAGGGTGTCTCCAAAACCCTCAGTGCTGCACGAATCCCGATCCCACTGAAGTCAATGAGAGTTTTACCACCAATCTTAGAGGGAGCAAAGTTAGACAAATGTCTAACCTCTGTAAATTCCAGCCTGTACTTTAAATGATTAACCAAGTGAGGCTCATGCCCCTACCCCTGAAAAGTTTTACTAGTGCCTAACAGAATGCTTTGTTTTATTAAGCAAAATGGTGATTTACAGTTGTAAAAGTTTGACATCTGTTCACCATAAAATAAATAAATAAATAAATACCTTCTTCAAAAATTGCACAGAGAAAACTGCTGTTCAGCCTTTCAGGCACTTCAACATGTCTATTACTTACAGAGCTGCATAAACAAACACTGCCTATTTGGGGGAAGCTGAGAAAAATGATGTCTTTGAAAGGTTTATGGGAAGAGCAAAATGTGTCTTCTGAATTTATGCTTTCCCTTGCTTCAATATGCCTTTGGTCTGAGCAAATCCACCATACAAGTGAACATGAATGTAAAAGTCATGAACATTTTTATAGTCATCAGAGTAATTGTGGGAAGTCCTGTGAATGTAAGCTTATTCACACTGTGTAGAGGAAAAAAAAATCTCCAGCAGAACCAAATCCTGAAGGGAAAAAAAACCTACAAACTTGTTGAGAAAATCTGTGTTCTCTCATTCTGGAATAAATTACAAAGCAAAAAGCAGGAGTTTCACATCCCTCAGCGCATTTCAGTATAAGATAAGAGGCCAAAAGCTCAGCAGGTATAAGTCAGCATAGCTGTGTCAAAGCCAATGGAGCAAAGCCAACTTATACCAACCCAGGCTCTTTTTCAAAAGATCTAGTTTACCTTTGCAGACATCATGGTCACGATAAAAGCCCTCTCCACAGGAAGACAGACACTGGCCCTGTCGTAATGCCAGGGAAAGGGGACAGGAAGTGCAGTGAGTGGCCAGTGGTCCAGTGCAGGTGGAACATGACTCATGGCAAGCTGAAGGAGGAACAAAGAGTAAAGCACTGTAATACATCTGCAAGTAATACTCTGCTTGCAGTGGTTACTGCTGGTTTCTGTATCAGGCAGACAACAGTCACTCCTCAATTGGTGCTCATCCATAATATTCCACCAGATGTTAAAATAATGACAAGTAAGAATTTGTAAAATAATAATAATAATAATTCTCTCTAATACAGTCCTTTTTATCCATAGATCTCAAAATGCTTTACAAAAGAGATCACTGAATATAATCCATCACTAGTGAGCCAACTAATGTAAAAACTCAAATCTCCTGCCCTCTAAAACAATTCTGTACCCTTTACAATTCCCCTCCCATTTGCAAATACCCAGAGGAAAGATGATGTGCTCTGAACTGAGCCCTGAAGGGCATCAGAAAGGTCAGGAAGGAATGCCTCGTACCTCTACATCTCCGGGTGCTGCCTGCGTAGTATCCGGCCGGGCACTCTGACATGCATTTCTCACTGTGGAGCACCCTATCTGAAGCGCATGTTAAACAACTCAGTCGGTCTGAATAACATGTTTCACAGGACTGGTCACAAGCTGCCCAAAGGGAGAGTTGTTAATGAAATGAACTCATCAGGAAAGAAACAGCAAGGCCGCTAATCTCCATGCACACTTAAAAACAAATATAATATAACTGTGCCCAATTTCTTCCTCATTACAAGGACACTTCAATGTGTAACAGTATATCAAACCTATGCATCATCAGTTTTCCTTTCACTGCCTGCCTAGCAACATTTGTGGAGATACATGTATAAATGAAGATAGAACAGATCCCAAATTGACCTAAATAACTTCTGGGATTCAGTGTGACATAGCAGGAGAAACATCAGCAGCTGGTTTACCCCAGCTACCTCCCACTAGTGCTATCACAGTCAGAGCTGCACTGATGTTACTGCAACAGGGGAAGATTATCAGAAAACACTCAGTGAGAGGAGGTTTTTTGCAAATCCCAGAGGCCTCCCATTCTCAGTATAATTGTGCACTTGAAAAAACAGGGTCACGTCCCACCACTCCCCTGGCTGGATAAATTGTAAAATATAGTTAACAATTTGTCATTTTCCACCAGAAAGATGCTTGAGCACTAATCCTCTACAGAGATGAATGAGGGTAGGGGAGTTCACAGCTTTCTTAAGAGCTAGCATTTCAGGTTCTCTCTCAGCAGCAGGCTCGGCACAGCACTGGTCTGCATTCAGTTCCCATTAAAAGGTTCTCTTCTTACACATAAGTGCTGTTAGGGACTTTTTCAGATGTGTAACTTCATTAATACAGTGTAGAGCCATAATATATATGAGTTTGCACCACTGCAGCTCACTTTAGCATGTTGCCAAATTAAGGACCATTCTGCACTAAAGCCAAACACCCACTTTAAAGAGTTCTAACGCCAGCACCAAATCATGGGGGTGCCAATCTCTTATGCAGACATGTTAAAATTTCTTTTTAAATATAAATTTCTATTCCACTGAGCCTCAGAGGGGAAAGGAGTGTGTATACATTCTTTCCCCTGCTATGAATGCAACAGCAGAGAAGAAAACCTTTGCAGTTTTAGAACATTATACTGTTCACTACTTGTCCATGAACAGGCAAAAATTGTACAACTTTTTTCATAAATGGAAATTATCTGACAAATACAAGCACCAGACTATGGATTTCTCACATGTTGAAAAATGGGTGGGGAGGGGGGGGGTAGAGAAATTGCAAGCATCCTATTAATATTGTCCTGTATTCTTTTAATCAAAGTTTGAAGAAAATTTTTCAACAAAAAGTCAAAACTGAGAAAAAAGTGACCAGTTCCTGTTGCAAACACACTCTCTGCTATTCAGCCTTGGAGCTTTGCAACTGATCACCTGAGAGGTACAGCAGGAAATGCTGGCCCAGTTGAAGCCAAAGACAAAGCTTCCATGGAGCTAAAACTTCACCCAGCAAATGTTCCTGTTCTGCAGCTGACTGACTTCTCTTCAAAAACAGCTTCTATGTCCACCAAAAAACATTAATTTTAGATGCTCAGCTCAGGATAGCCAACATCTGATTCTCTGAGATGCTGAGAAACTACAGCTCCCAAATGCAAACTGTCGAAGTTGAGAACCTGAGAAAACTAGGAGGTGTCTGAAGCAGAGCACCCACAAACTCAAGTTTTCAAAAGCATCACCCATTACTTTTGAAAATTGGGGGAATCTAAACCAATTAAAATTTCCATGTTTAAAAACAAGTGTAAGCTACCAGTGCAAGATTAACTTTCTGTGAACTTCATACAAACAACATTTCACTGATATAAACATTCACCAGGTAAAGGAAAAACATGGTCAAAGTGCAATTCCATTTAGAAGGGGCAGAAACATTGGCAATTAATTTTACTAGGCATCAGGGTTTAAGTCAGTCTTTAACTACCAGCAGTTGAGATGAGACCTATGCAAGGGCACATTATCCTACATGTGCCTACTGCAAAATTAATTGCACCTTCTTCCGAAGCAGCTACTGCTGCCTGCTTTGGGAGACATGATTCTGGACAACCCAGACCATGGTCTTGTCCAGGGGTGGCCCACGTGCAGCATGTATGCTACAAATGGCATGGACAGTAGCAGATCTGGCAGGGAACATAGGACAGGGAGCAGAAACTAGAGCAGCAGATCAGGGAAGGGGATTGAAGTGACACTTAGGGAGGGTGTGAGGTTAATTGCAGCACACCTGCCAAAAAGCTTGGCCCTCTCTGATCTAGTCCAATCTTCTTGCAATTCCTTAAGCTAGCCTGTTTTTTATTCTCAGGATCCACCTGGATCTACTAAAAGTTACTTCCCCCTCTTTCCTTCTTTTTAACAGGCCTCCCCACTCCCCAAGTCCTACTTGTCTTGTAGGCATTCATCATTAAGGCACTGGATAAATTCATAACTTCAAGCAACCTACTGGCAAAGGCCATCTCTTTCCACAAACAAGTGGATTTGTCAAGCTCTAAGAATCATCTTGTTTTTGCTTTCATGCTGTTCTGCTTAAACCTTTCAACATCTGAAAATTTTAAATTAACAAGTAACCTTATAAACCAAATGGCAGCATTTTATCACCCAATATTCATGCAAGAGGGCATGCCTGGCATTTTAAGATACGTATGGCACCATGTTTGCTGCCTGGCTGAATGGAACAGAGATTTCTGTTAGAAATGCACATGTAAAATTCTTGTACGAGAAAACAAAAAGTGGAGGTTTACCATTGCAGATTCCATTCCTGATGTAGAACCCCTGGCCACAGCTGGTCACACAGACCCCTGCTTTTAATACATGAGAGTGGTCTTTGCAGGCCAAGCAGTTGTTCTCAGCAGGCCCCCAACAGGTGGAGCAGGATTCGTGACAAGCTGCAGGGGAAAGGGCTAAGAGGTTAGTGAACAACCCAAATCACAACTGACTTTTAAAAAATGATTTAGGTGGGAATTCACTGATTTACACTTTTATTCCTAAAAAGACATTGGTATTACTTGCTTCCAAAAATCCTGGCTGTGCTGCAACTGGTGAAATCACCCTTTGGTGGGTGCAAGTTGCTCCTGCAGAATGACTGGTAAGTATAAATCAGAACAGCTCCCACAGCTGCAATGAGACCTTCAGAGGAGCAGCTCTAAACACTGTTAATGCTGGTATCCGAGTAGCACTGACCAGGATCATGGTGCTGTGCTCTACCTGCACCCTGCAATCAGATCTGTGCCAACAGACTCCTGTACCCATGTAGGCGCCCACTGACAGCAATGGGACTTTTAAAGTACATAAAGATCCATTCTCATGGAACTGAACTGCAGGACCAGAGTCATCCCAGAGGCAGATGGCAAAAGGACACTGGAATATGAATAGTTGAACTCCATTTCCAATGAATTTCAGCAGGGAATAAGCAATTCCTGGGGACAGGTGGAAACTGTCTTTTTCTGGGCAGTTCTCATGTGAAGCATACTGTGCGCAGCCAGAATATTTTTCCCTTATATGGCCAAAAGGTAGAAGGGACACGGCCCTACTAAATTGAGAAGTCTGCTATATCTATCTTTGGGCAAACTCTGAAGTAAGGCTAGCATGTAGTGCTATTGCAGATGATCCTGAATGATGCAATATTTGCCATACAGGCCACAGATACATACATCTCCCTTGTTTACAGTTACATGGAAACATACAGTAAAATAGAATAAAGCAATCTATTAATATAGTTTTTTGCAGTAAAATGAATGGTTATACAGAGCAAAATTCCATTTTCTGACACAGCTGGGGGATGCCATTGACTTTGATGAAATTGTAAAACTGCCAGGAAAATTCAGCCTGGTGTGATTAGGTTTTATGGTATTTGTGTGGCTGATACGTGTTAAATCATGTGCTGCCTGTACTCATATAACCTGCATGAACTACAGTACTCTAAGCTATTAGATTTTTCCCCTGATTATGCAGAAATATGTTCAAAATGTGTTTTTAACTTTATTATTTCACAACAAGACAGGTATGTGCTTGTAGTCTTTCTCTGAATTCTGAAGGGAAACAGGACCCTCATGGCATTTGCCATGAATACACTAGCATTCACAAAGCTACAACCACTTCTTAGAACTGCATTTGATATAATGAACAGATTTGATATTTGATGCACACCAAGTGCCTTTGAAACTCTACAAAAAGCAAGGGTACAGATGTTCATACCCAAAGAAGGACTCTAAAAACAGCTGAAAAAAACGGCTGACCCGCTTCAAAGATGACCCTCAAAGAAAATGGAGAAAAAGGACAGGGGAAAAGTGGGCAGGGTGGACAGCTAAAGAGAGCTCTCCTGTGTATGTAGATGTCCTCAGGGAACCTCCAGAGACACCCCTAGTTCCAGAATACCACCACTACATGCCTTCATGGATACTTTGAAGCACTCCAAAGACACAGAGGGGAAGGGCCCAGAAGTTTGCATGGGGCTGAAGAACTCCAAATTTGAACTGCTCCAATTGAAGCAAGATTTTGGAGTGCTTCAAAGGTATGTCTATTCAATCCTAAAATGCACACATCTTAGTGTGGTTTTACAGGATATTTTACCACCATCTTCCAGATTATACTAACACCACTTGTACTCAGAAATTCAAATTATATATGAAAGATACCTCTGAAGCAGAAGAAGTTGCAAATATGATATGAAGGCTATGCAACACAGTAATCAGAAGGGGACAATATCAGTTCAGAAGGGGAAAATGCTAGCATGCTCTAGAGAGTTTAAATTAGAATCTGCTTAGAAAAAACAATAAAAGACCCAAGGTACACACTGGCCCAGAATAGATTAGAGCATGCTCGTTTTCAATATGAGAAGAACACACCTAATCTTGTGGGGCAAGTGAGGACAGGGAAAAGAAGTGGATGCTGCAATTAAAAAGCAAGGTAGACAGCTGCACTGACATTAAACCTACCTGCACCTTCGAAAACAAGAAGTAACTTACGCCTCCCTGCAATCACAGTTTTTTTAATTCCCTTTTTATCTGCTCCATTCTCCTTGTTACATGGGGGTGAGGGAAGCATCATTCTGATTTATTAACAAGTTTGAGCAAGCATCTACCTGGTTGCGTAACCTTTATCACCACAGCAACTGAGCACCTAGCTCTTTGATGGATATTAACTTTCCTGTGAGCCTTGCAGATGGGAAACTGAGGCACAGAGAAGCTATATGCTTTGCCCAAGGTCACAAAGGAAGTCTGTGACAGAGCTAGACATTGGATTCATAAGGGTTGAATTCATGGCCAGTGATCTGTCTGCTAGACCAGCCTATGATCCCTTCTAGTCTTTCCCTTCTATTCTCTTGCAATTTTCTACTCTCTTCTTTATCTTTTTCCCTTCCCATTTTTTTCTTGCCTCACTCCTACCTTCTCCTGGCTAGAATGATACAGTCAGTCTCCAATCTGTAGAGTCAAATATCACTGAATGACTCTGATTGTCAGGTCTCACCTCCTACATAGCACAGGTCTTAGAATTTCACTGTGATTCCTGCAGTGGAAAGAATTCTAACATACCTGACTGCTATCAAGCTCATCCAGTTGGGCTTCAATTAGAGCATGTCTATTAACCAAACACCCAGTCTCAGTTTAAAGACTGCAAGCGATAATGGGTTTAACACTTCCCTGAGCAACCTGTTCCAAAGGTTAATTTCCCTCCTTTGTGGAAAGCTGCCTCTTTATTCTAATTTTAATGCTTCTGAGGGCTTGTTGACACTTGAAAGTTGTATTTGGATCATGATTTTGAATTTAAAAATACCTATGTCTGAATAACTTGTTATAGAGATGCCCTAACATCAACTTCACAGGTATGTCTGAACAACTCCAGGTATAGAGTTGTTCCTACCACTTGCCTCAACTTCCAGCCATTCCATACTACTACGATTAATTCACAATCTCCCTAAAATTGGATATATTCTTCCCCTGTGTGTACTTACAGACTGTTATCAAGGCACCTCTTGACCTTCTCTTCCACAGCGTAAGTAGACTGAAATCCTTAATTCTCTCAGCATAAGACAGGCTGTCCACACCTTGAATTATTTGTAGAGCACTTTTCCGAACCCTCTCCATTATTGAAGAATCTTTTTTTTCAAGTGGAAACACAGGAACTGGACATGGTACTCCAGGCACAGACTCACCAATGCCCCATGCACAGGGTATACTGCCTTGCTGAATTATCCTTTGTGCTCCAGCACCAGTGCACATATTCTCTTGCTTATCTGCTAGGTCCTTTCCAGAGTCATAGCTTTCCACGATACAATCCTGTCCCATAACTTTTGTTCTCTCTTCCTACATCTATAACCATGCATTTGGGGGTTATAATATGTACATTTGACAGGGCCCAAATCAGTTAGGTATTCAACAGTGCTTTCCATTATTGACTCCCTCCCTCCCCTATACAAATCCTGCATGTAACTAGACATGCTATCCTGGACTGCCTCCTCTCAAAGCAATTTGACACTGACTGCAGCCTCCCCAAGCTCAGTCTCCTCAGAACTCCTGTGTCTGAGGCATGACTAGCCTGCCTGGAGAAGTCACAGTTGCATTCTCCTCCCTTCCTGGGTAAGAAACAGTGGGCACATCTACACATGCATTAATGCACCATAATGACTCTGCACTAAGTTTAGTACCTGTAATAACAGCTACTAACTTAATGTGCAGTAAATCGAAGCTACTGCACAGTAGCACCAGCACATGTCTTTTAAGTGATGCTAAAATGCATCAGACTAATTCTACTGCACATTAGTAAATTAACATGGCTTTTGCCGTGATGCACTAATGCACAGTAGAATTAGTCTACTGCACTTTTAGTGTCTCGTGTAGACAAGCTCACTATGTCCAAATCAACAGAGACAAGACCAGCACAAAGCCTCACTGGGCACCATCTTCAGACCCTAGCAGCAATAGGCTCTCTTACTACCTTGCTGCCAGCTCCTGGACTGTATTCAATCCAACAGCCTGCAGCAAAGAAGCCTTCCTACCACTACTAACAAACAGCTCACAATTCAATGGACTTCTCAACCCACCACACCCTCCCCCAGAAATGTTGCCTATCCATTCTCCTCCTCAGGAATGGATCCAGGATTTTGTAAAGGGTAGAGTGGGAACAGTGAACAGAACTGAAGGGATGGCTGCACCCCCAGTCCCAGCTTCCTCTCCATCCAGATGGGCAGATCATACCATGGAAGCAGCAGCTGGGGACATTTTTAAGTCCCCTAATCAGGTAAGAATCTTTCTCCCACCCCATTCTGTGTTCAGCAGCACCTCCTCTCTTCTCACCTCCCATTCCCATCCTCTGCCATCTACTGCTGCCACTACTCTCCCACCCCCACTGGGTCAGCTAACCTAGAGGTAGGGAGAACTCCAGAGCTGTTCCTGCCCTGCTCCAACCAGGCTTCAAGGGGATACAGGCTCAGCCAGAGGCAATGGTAATGGCAAGCAGGTTTCACCTCCTTGCGCCTGCTCCCAGGCTGGTGGGGAACACCTGGAGGACCAGGCAGACAGGGGAATCCTGCCTGCTTCCACCACTGCACTGTCTTCAGGCTGACCGTGGCTCCTTGCATAGCCTAGCTGGAGTTGGGCAGGAGCAGCTCTTGGGGACTTTAAAAAGTACCTGGTTGCTGTTTCCATGGCATGGTCTGAAAGGGAGGCGTGCAACTGCACCACTGCACCTCCTCTAGATCTGCCCCTGCCCCTCCTCCCAACCAACCTCCAACTGCTGGGCTTTCTCCCTTTGAAGCCTGACCCCCAGTACAGGTCAGAATAGGGATAACTGAGCTGGTCTCTTAAAGGAGCAGGCCAAGTTGTGATACTTCTGCAACCTCTACCTGCAAAATGAAAACTCACTAAAATTACTGCATGTTTCACTTTGC